CAAGTGCGAACCCACCACCTCGTGGAAAATGGAAAATGAGCATCGAACGTTTTTCTGGTATAGAATGAAATGATAGGCGACGACGACTCATTACCTACTCGCTTAGGTATGTAGGTATGTAGTTTAGATAAAAGTTAGATATGGGATATGGGCTTTTTCGAGTTCTCCGGTCAGAGCTAACATTCTCTTGGGTAGGTAGGTACCTTGGCCTTGGTCATACGTGGACATCAATTGGTTATACATGCCGCGGCGATACGATACATGCGTAATGCCAGAATGCATACATACCTAGGTACTCAACTTGCAGCTGAGCAGGAAGTGCGATCTGGGACGGGGACGGGAACATTGATAGGGTTCCGTGCCCGATCGCATTCGCATTCGAGAGCGCCGCTGCCGTTGACGTGGGCTCCAGGGCTGGCTGGCGGGAAGCGGGCGGGCGCATTGGCGCAGGGCAGGGCACAACCAAGACCACTGCACTGGACTGGACCAGCGGCGGCAAGAAAACGGGGTTCCGCATCCATTGGGACTAACTACGAAGTTCTAGGTAGGTCGGTACCTAGGTCGGTACCCAGGGCAGGTGTGTATGTAGGTAGGGTACATGAATGCAGTCACTTTGTATGCAGCAACTTGCAGTGGTCATACTTCGTACGAACCTTGGAAGTTACTTAGTAGTAATCAACCAACCTATCAAAGGCATCTAGCATCTGGCATCTGGGCGAAGCAGCGAGGAACGCAATCCTGTTGTCACATGCTGGGCCTTTCTTGTCCAACCAATTCTTGTCCAACCAGTGCCAGTGCATTCCGATATGGGGTGACAGCACTGACGGCGACGGGGCGGCGCCAACAAAGAACGAACAAGGCAAGGGAGAAAGAAACGAGAGAATTGGGTGATGGGATTGCCAAGGCGACAAGAGCACTAAAGGATATAACCATCGACCAACAACCGTGACAACGGGCGACTTTATACTACCTGATGAGCTCTTTAGGTATAATTAGCTTTCAACCTGCATATGTAGTTTTATCTACCACCTGCAAGGCAGCCCCATCTCGGCCCATCTTGGCGGCAGTAATCAGACGTATTGACTATACATACAGACATACTGGACATACAGACGCACTTACGGGCATACATACATCCCTAATTGGTAGTCAGTCTGTCCGTCAGTCAGTCGGTTCCAACTTCCAAGGTTGTTCGTTCCCAATTCCTGGACTTGGCGATGCTCTGCTGATGCCCTGATGCCCTGATGCCCTGATGCTCGCCCTTCGTCCCTCATCTTCCTAAAATCACCCTCATGCCTGGCCCCCAACCGAGCTTATCATTCTCCCTAATCTCCGTCCGTGTCTCTCCTGCACCACCTACACCACCTACACCACCAACCTAGCTACAGTTACATTCGCCCACTCGCCCACTCTGACATACATTATACATCATACATACACGCCTGCCTCCTACTTCGACCTATTACTTCGACCTAACCTCCTTATCTACCCCCTAGAGCCTTCTTTCTCCATTCTTTCCCTCTCACTCGTTTGTTCCAACCTCATACCGAAAAGAATATCGACGGTCTTTTAATATTTGGATCTTCTAACGTACCCGACGTTGGTTGACCTGCCAAGGTCCCACATAGCCCCAACTCGGAAGCCGCCCGTTACCACCTTTCTGAATCCTGGGACTGCATGTTAATTGGGAATTGGGAATTGGGACTCGGGAGGTTTATCCTCTAACACACTCGTCGCCACCACCACCTCCGATAAATACAATTTACCATCCAAGGGGCAAAGTCCCGAGGAGAGAGAGAGAGACAGAAAAAGAAAAATAGAAAAGAAATATAGACAAGAAAAATGCCCCCTAGTTTGGTCGCCAGCATACTCGAGAGAGCACCCAGCGTCGCAATAGAGAGCCTCGCGAGGCGTGCGGAGGAATCCGATGACATCTCGACGATACAAAGGGTGTTCGAGAACCTACCCGACGACTTGATATGGTGGCTTGCGCTCGCGGCCCTGAACTGTCTGGTCTTTGTTCCACCTATAATATTCGTAAGTGCAACGCCTATCTACCGGGTAGGTGGCTTCAGCCACTGCCACCACCACCACCACCACCCATTGATGACTCTGTGATCTCGTGCTGACACCAATGGGCGCGCCAACAGCTATCCTACAGTGTAAATAGTTTATGGCCGGTCCTGTCCATACTCGAAGACGACGCTCCACCGACGTACGAGCGGATAGCCCTGCAAGACAGGGACGGGGACAAGGAAGATGAGGGGGGCGAGAAGCCCGAGGCGGCGCTCCTCGCCGACGAGGCTGGTGGCGGCGGAAGCGGCAGCGGCAGCAGCCTGCTGTCGCTCGAATACTCGCCCGCCGTGACCGCGGACCTGCGCCTCCTGAACCGCATGCTGTACTCGATCGGCGGCTGGCCGTCGCTGCTCCGCGGCCTGCGGCCGCACATGTTCTTCAACCTGTCGGTGGCGGTCCTGACTTTCGTCATGACCTGCATACCCTACCTGCCCAAGGTCCTGGGCATCGCCGTCGCGCCCCTGGCCGTCGTCCAGCTCTACACGGCCTGGGTGCACGTGGCCATCTCGGCGCCGAGCCCGAAGCCCTTCTTCCGCCGCTTCCCGCGCTTCGCCACCGCCGCCCGCGCGACGGCCCTGCCGACCGCCACCATGTGGCTCGCCGTCGGCATCGCGCAGGAGCTGCCGCTGTGCCTGCTCGGCTGGCTGCACGTCAAGACGTGGGACCCGACGGGCTACGACGTGGTCCAGGTGCCGTACTTCGACGGCTTCCTGACCGACTTCCTCAAGCTGCTCGCGCTGTTCGCCGCCTGGGCGCTGCCCACCCTGCTGCTCGTCATCCCAGCCCACGCCGTGCTGACCCGCGTCCAGGCGTCGCTGCTGCCCGCCGGCGAGCGCACCGTCGTCCCCTTCGACCGCACCTTCCAGGGCCAGCGCGAGCCCGGCGGCGAGAAGGGCGAGCGGCCCATCGGCATGGTCCAGGCCTGGCGCTCCTTCTCGCGCGCCTCCTGGCTGCGCCTGTACGTCCTGTACGCCAAGGTCTTCTTCATCACCCTGGGCGCCTCCATCTTCATGGGCGCCGCCGTCGGCATCCAGATCATCATCGTCTGGAGCAACATCAAGAAGGGCAATGGCAATGGCAACAACAGCAATAGCAATACCACCAGCAGTAGCGGGGATTAAGCCAGGAGACAAGGCTTTTAAGAAGGTTCCCCTTCCCGCTGTGTTGAGGCTTTTTGCTTCGTTTGTTTGCTTCCGTCCTCTTGATTTCCCGTTGGCTTGGTTACCCCTAGCGTACAATCTCTTGTTTGCTTGTTATGTTTGTTTTACTATCATCATTATCATTTTTTCCCGCATGGCTTGGTCACTATTGGGTTGGGGTTCAGGGATAGAACTGTTATTTGCGATTTTCCCTCCCCTCCCCCACGGGAGAGGGGCTGCTCTTTTTTTGTTTTGTGTATTATACCTACACTGGCCGCCGGACTTAAGACGGATAGATCGGTTGGCACAGCTTTTATTGGATAACGGGACTGGGAGGGGTTTTGGTTTGGTTTGGGGGAGGGCACGATTTCAACGAAAACACAACGGCGTGGGACATGCAATGCAATACAACGGGCTGTGTGTGTGTATGGCATTTTCATCATCATCATCATCATCATCAGGTTTTTGGGCTCGCTCTCGTCCGTGTCCATCCGTCCGGGGCGGACGGACGGACTGACTGTTCGGAGAGAGCGGTGGTCAGGTTTGTAGGAAAGTAGGAATGGTATAAACAGGTTTTTGCATACATATTGTAGAGAAGAGAAAGAGAAAGAAGAGGGAGTAGTAGTAACTCTCGTAGAGGGAACGAACGAACAGGCCTGCCGGCCCTTCCTTGCGCCCGCCTGCCCGCTCTCCTGTCATAATGGAGGAGAAGGGGGTTCTCGGAAGGTGTCTGTGCCGAGCTGGTGGTACTACTTAATTGACTGCCAAGTTTACCTCACCTACCTAAGTACCGACTTATCAGATGCTATCGCTTGTGAATGACCTCACCCCCACGAATGATTGTACTATGTATATGTCTTTACATGGCTGGTCCAGGGTTGTCGTGGAGGTTTTCGTATCACGCACGCGTAATACTGGTTCGCGAGATGCGTTGGGCTATTTGCTTGATCTGCAGGCCAATAACGACGCCCAATGCCGGTCTCTGTATATATATCTTTATCCCTAGAGCTATTCCTACCATTCGACTAAACCCCCCTCCCTTCTCCCCCTCCAAGCCTTCAGGAGTCTTACGGGGGACTTGTTTAGTTTGGATACGTACGACATAGATGTAGACGAAGTACAAAAAATATAACCGAGCGGACTCCAGGCGACGCCTCCCCCATTTTCAACTTGCGAAGCCGCCCCAAGCTGAAGAAGGTTTAAGAGTCTCTTTGAAAACTTGGGAGCTTGTGATTTATGCTGGGGAATATTTTACTTTGCCTGCCTGCCTGCCTGCCTGCCTATATATGTACGGCACCCGCTTGGAGGTGAGCACGCCATATTACATGGGCATCTAGGTAGAGACATATATAACTTGAACCTGTTTAACACCCTGCCTTGGGTTAGGCTGTATGCGTAGGTGGGTGGGTAGGCAGGTGCCTGTAGGATTTACCTTCTCATGTAAGGGCTGGATATCTCCTCGGGGGAGTTCTTCTCTTGTAATAAGTTGTGCTAAGAAAAGATATATGTGTACTCGCTAACCTTACCTAACCTTGACGTTATAAACGCGTGGACGAAATAAAAGGGGTTCAGGGGAAAGCTAACAACCAAGCTCCTGCATATACAATTAAGGAAGATCTACCCAAAACACATGACCAAAAAAATATATTGCCTGGTCCAGGAATCGAACCTGGGTTTTCTACTGGTTCTTGCCATTTTTCTCTTTCCTTCTGTGGTGTGTTTTTTGGTATGGTTTGTTTCACACAGGGCGAAGAGATTACCCGGTTTTGCGGTGTACAGATCAGTAGCATCCACAGGGAATCGAACCCAAGGCCTTCACCTTTTGGTGAATTGGCCTTTGGCAGAATCTTCAACGTGCTAAACCACTGCACCAACCTGGCTTGAATTGTTAGGAGACTGGCCGCTTATTCGAATACATATTGCCTGCATGCCTTGTAGGTAGGTAGGTAGGTAGGTAGGTAGGTAGGATGTCGGTTGTTGCTACGGCAGTGGCTGACAGACAGAAAGTTGGGACATTGGGTTGGTGACTAGGTTGGCTTCTTTTTGCCTACCTTAAGTCTGTCTGTCTGTCTGTCTCCCTTCGAGCTTGATAGCGGTGTACAAGTCCTTTTATCTATGTCCTCTTTGCTTCAAGACATACCTAGTATTATGCCTGCTGAACCCATTCCTCGAGCCACCAATTGAAGAGTAGAGCCATGGACTGACTGCCCTGCTACTCAGGTGATATCGAAGTCGTGTTTAAGCAACTGGCATATACAACCCCCAAGATCTGGCCATTGTTGCACCTAATCACCACTGCTGGTTTATCATAGGAAATACTCGGATAATGTCTGACAACCCCCTCCTTAGGCACCAAATCGACACTGCGAAGGTTGTTTGTACGTTTTACCCTGTGTTCAATTCCATGCTATATGTACAAGACAAATGCGCGTGCAACCCGACGACGACAAAGAAAAATCTAGCCTGGTAGTTTGGTGGCAGCCGCATGGCTCCTGAGTCTATCTATCGAGGCCTTTATTTCTCCTTTTTTGGCATATTCCACCAACCTAGGCATATCACAGCATACGCCTACCCATAAACCATCCCCATTTATACACCGTAGGCAACCTGTCCCATCGGTCTATCTTCAGTCATGCCAGGAGCCATAAAGTTCGTCTCTGGGTTACCCGTCTTCTTCGCTGCTGAGCACCGTGCCATCGTTGGCGAGCTGTCGAATCGAGCGTTAGTAGCACATTCAATATTGAGTGAAGGGTGGTTGACTAGTAGCTGGGGAGCTTAGCTTACCTTCTTGAGATAACATCTGTGAAGTAGAAGTCATCGACAACCTTCTTCAGAGGTTCACCGGTCGACTTAGACCCCTTATTCTGATCCACCAACTGTACCCTGCTTAGCTGTGGTAGGGACGTGGGCTCAACAATATCGTAGGAGCCGAGGGCTGGGCTAATTTCCACCAGCCTATCACGTAGCATGGCAACATCGTCGTAAGGTAGAGGCGCGCCCAGGAACTCACTGACGGCGCGAATGATCTTCCAGTCGGTCCGAGCGGCACCGGGTAATGATGTCGCGGCACGTGTGGTTTGAGCGCGACCTTCCGTGTTGACGTAAGTGCCAGCCTTCTCCGTGTAGGCTGCGCCGGGCAGAACGATATCAGCGATCTGGGCACCACGGTCACCGTGGTGGCCCTGGTAAACGACGAATGCGTCCTTGGGAATATCGGCCTCATTGATCTCATCAGCACCTAGAAGCCAGACGAATTTGGGCTTGGTCTGAGCGACCTCGGGCGAAGGAACCACGAAGCCAACTTCGAAAGCTCCAGCCCTAGAAGCTGCCCTCTGTAGGATGTTGAAGCCATTGTGCTCGGGTGTAAGGAAGTTCGCGGCGTTCTTGTCGACGAAGGTACCAATATGCTCATAGAAAGCCTTAGCATCAGGGTGGTCCGTGACACCAGAGCCAACGACGATCATGGGCTTCTTAGCCGCCTGGAGCTTCTTGCCGAAGGGTCCGGCAAGGGCCGTCTTCAGAGCAGCGAGATCCGTACCCAGGTGCTCAAAGTCGAACGTGGAATTCCACGTCTCGCCAACCACACCAATCTCCAGGTCTGATCGCAGCCACTGCTTTCGGATGCGGGCGTTCAAACCAGCTGCCTCATGTCGAGGGTTAGTGCCGACAAGAAGTAGCACATCAACATCCTCGACGGCCCAGATCTTAGAGTTGAAGAGATAGTTCGATCTGACGTCCACACCATGGGGAATTGGTCCGTTTCCAGAGGGCATATCGAGAGCCAGGTTTTCAGAGCCGAGTTTGTTGGCAAGATCCTTCATAGCTACCAAAGATTCAACCTCGGTGAGCTCGCCAGCAATCACCTTGAATTCATTGCCGGTGGGCTTAACCAGTCGGTAAGCGTGACCAATCTCCGTCAGAGCCTGCTCCCAGCTTGCTGGCTCGAATTTACCTTCTCTCCGTACCAAGGGCATGGTCAGTCGTTGGGTTTTGAGGCCGTCGCAGGCAAAGCGAGACTTGTCGTTGATCCATTCCTCGTTGATATCGTCGTTGAGGCGGGGTAGGGTACGCATGACCTCGAGACCACGGGAGTCGACCCGGACAGCGGAACCTAGAGCGTCGTGGACATCAATCGTTTCGGTCTTCTTTAGCTCCCATGGACGGGCTCGGAAAGCATAGGGTTTCGAGGTCAAAGCACCGACGGGGCAGAGGTCGATGACGTTTCCAGACATCTCCGAGTCGAGGTTCTGTTCAAGGTATGTGCCGATCTGGATGTCGTTTCCTCGGCCGAAGGAGCCCATCTCGGGCGCACCGGCAACATCGTTGGCAAATCGGATACATCGTGTGCAGTGAATGCATCGGTTCATCGAGGTCTTGATGAGGGGGCCGATATTCTTGTCCTCCACACCACGCTTGCCGCCCAGCTCGTGGAACCGTCCTCTGTCCGCGCCATACCGCATAGACTGGTCTTGAAGATCACATTCACCACCCTGGTCGCAGATGGGGCAATCCAAGGGATGATTCGCCAGCAGGAATTCCATGACTCCCTCGCGAGCTTTATGTGTGAGTGGTGAGTTGGTTTTGACGACCATGCCGGGTTGTACGGGCCATGCGCAGGATGCCACAGGCTTGGGAGCCCTCTCCACCTCGACGAGACACATACGACAGTTACCGGCAATCATTAGCTTTCTGTTTTTGGTTGGTCAGCAAGAGGGTCGTCAACGTTCGTCGGATCGAGGGTAGCGGCCGTACTCATGATAGCAGTATCTATGGAAGGGTTAGCGATGTGCTCCAAAACAGCCATAGTAGATCAGTTGGCATTATATTGGCGGCTGACCTTGGAACTGTGACTCCCGCCTTCTCGCATGCCTGAATCAAGGCAGATCCAGCTGTAACTCCAATCAGTATCCAAGCTAGCCGAGTATATTGCGTCGTGCGGTCGGGTCTTGGGGTTCTGCTTATATATACCTTCTATCGATACCTTCTTGCCATCTATTGTCTGGTCAGTAGGCGCATTCCAGCAAGAACGAACATGATCAATTGATATGATATCACTGCATCAGATCATGGGGCGGAGCACTAACCGACTGTCAGTTCCACCTCGGCCGGTCGTTGAGCTGTCGCGGAAAAGGCTCTGGAAGATTTGGCGACATGTCTGCCCGTCCGCCAAGCCGAACGAGCCAGTGATTGTCGCAGCATCGTGTCGTCCTGACGGATTTAGGGTATAGGGGGTATATACAGGAAAGGAGAGGGGATGCAGGACAGTGCAGAACAATATGGCAATATATTGTGGCGTGGGGAATTGGAGGAGGCTCTTATCGAGGCGAAGTGTCGGGGTGTCAGGGTGTCAGGGTGTTGACGTTGACGTCTTTCCTGGGTATCAGGATCAGGGCATTCGGTTGTCCCTCAGGAAGGTCCCAGTGCTGCTGGTTGCCGGCTGCTGCTACCTATTCGCTCTCACTGGGACCTTGGGCAGTCGGGTTGCCGCTGTGGCGCTAGCGATTATTTGCATCAGATGTGATTGGCCATGACCAGCGACGACAGCTGCCCATTACTTAAGCCGTAGAGAGGAGAGACGTCGGAAGCTTTTAGAGAGAGCTCGGACCACACGACATAGCGATGCAAGCCCCAATGGGAATTGGCCAATTTGACATGGAGTGGATGGGCTAATCAGGGCCTTTAAGAGCCGTCGCAAAATTTTGGGTCTTTTCTCTTTTTTCCTTCCTTCCTTCAACAAAAATTGTACTATGGGCACATTTTATTGTAGGTGAGCTTAGGCAAGCTCTCCGGGGTTTTACTCCAGGATCTTGCTGCAGTTGAGTCTTCCTCTATCTTGTGCTCTAGAGAAATCATTTGACGCCGATTATGGAAGCATTTGAGAAGGCTTTTTCTGCCTCAAGGATCTTTGCCTCTTACCGCCGGTCGTTACATTTCAACGCCAACGAAACGAGATATTTCTAACGAGATATTTCCAGCTACATACCCTTCACCCGTCCCCCCCTCCCTCGTCGCGGAATGTCCCAATACCCCATTCTAAGTCTGCTACGAGAGTTGGACTATAAAGCTTATAAAACATTCAGAATGTCTAAACCGGGCGATTTTGAATTTTCAGGTGGGTATACCATAGTCACCTTGTAAAGATCTGTAAACCATCAATGAATATCAAAACAGCCTTATGCAGTTGTGCCTGTGGTATTTAGAGACAGTATGTGGACTTTGGCACATTGACCACAAAAGGTCATGAACACTCTATTAGATATTATATAACCTGAATATTTGTACTATTTGACCACTAAGGTCTTGGGCAGGGTTGCCAACTAGACTGGTCAACAACTATGGCTGCGTGTACCATGATTGCTATTAACGGGGTCTACTATGATGAAGACCAGCGACTCAGAGACGAATATATAAATCCATACACTCAATCCTCCACTCTCTCCGACCTAGGAGGCTTCTGAGCCATTCCACACCAATGCCCGTCCACTCTGCCTTTCTTCTTGTCAACTCTTCTGCTGCGACACCAGCCAAAGCATTGGCGGTTGTGTTGAGCATCTCGACTGCTGTGGCATTGAAACCACTGGCGACGTCCTCCGATATTGAAGTGTCTATAGGAATCGTTGTTGGCAATGGAGGTCGCGGTTCAAACCAGTTACTGCTGAAGTCGAAGAAGCATTGATCTGACCAATAACACGACGTGGCGAATAGAATAAGTAGTAGTACTGAGCAGTATACACACGGCCGATTCAAGAAGTACGTGCAGACGAAGAAGAGGAAGATGAAGGCCGGCGAGGCATTGGTCGGGATGAAAAGGAGGGGGAGCCAGCTAAAGACGACAGTTAGCGGTCGCCATGGCCAATGAAGAGTCCGGCGAATACAACAT